TTCACCTGGGCTGTCCTCTGACCACAATCTTTCTACCCATGCTTCCCATATAGCTGGAATGACAAGTGTGCACCACCATGCCTGGTTCATTTGTTGATATGGAGACTTTCTAACTTTTTGTCTGGGCTAGCCTCAAGCCACCGTCCTCCTGATCTCCACCTCCTGAATAGTTGGTATTACAGGTGTGAGTGATCATGCCTGGCCTCTCTGAGCCAACTAGGGCTCAGAGAGGTTAAGCAATTTACTCATGGACCTCCTATCCATGCCCAGGATGGATATGTTTTACTTCAAAGATGACCTCTGCGGAGGGCAGAAGTTGGGCTAGGATAGAATAAACATCATCCATGTTTCCTCTGGGACCCAGGCAGCTGCTGAACTGGACCAAGGGAGACTTCATGGAGATGTCCCTCAACAAACTAAGGCAGCTCCCTGGGTACTGACAGTCTCAGGTCCAATGCAAACTGCTCATCTCAGTACCTGGGACAGCTCTCCCACTATTCTCAACAACTCTTAGGTCAGGCTCAATACAAGGCTCTGTGTGGCCCCAATACACCACTGATTCACTTGTAATATTAAGCTACACTGGTTCAACCTTTTGTCCCTTTCTTTTCTTTATTGGTGTATATTAATGGTGCAAAGAGGTTTCATTGTGACATTTCCACACATGCATATAATGTCCTTTGATTATATTCACCCTCTATTACTCTTTCTCATCCCCTCTTTAAAATTTAAATGGGTGTTATTATGCTATTTTCTTTCCTTTCTTGTTTTGGTGGGACTGGGGTTTGAACTCAAGGCTTCACACTTGCCAAGCAGGAGCTCTACTACTTGAGCCAAGACACTAGTCCATTTTGCTCTGCTTATTTGGGAGATGGGGGTCTCATGAACTCTTCCTGGGCTGGTCTTGAACCATGATCCTCCTGATCTCAGCCTCCCAAGTATCTAGGATTACAAGTGTGAGGATCGGGGCCTGGCTTGTATGCTATTTTCACACATGCATATCATTTATGATTCAGTCTTTCTCAAGCTCCAAACAAATGTTAGTTTCCAAATTTGTGCCTGGCCTGTTGTGAACTTCACATTTTTCTTTAAGATAACTTACTTTTCTTATTAAAATCCTTTCAAAGGGAAACTGTATTCTCTTATAGAGAAGAAAGGAACAGTATCACTTCTCACGAACAGAAAGTGATCATAAAAACAAAATCTGATAAAATGAAACAGTGGCAACATGTTTTGTCTATGGCTCAGATGGCTAAAAAGAGTTAGGATGCTCCCTGTTTAGTAAAAGTGAGGCTTGGAAAACTGGGAGAATTACAAACAGAAGGAGGAATGGGGAGGAGGTGGGGTATGGAAAATTCTTGTGAGGGGAGGGAGGGAGAAAGAGAAGAGGGCAGTCTATGGGTTCTTTAGGACCAAGGGCAGTTCAGGCTCCCAGTGCTACAGTGGTGTGGCTGGAGGGTCACACTCAGGACTGGGGTCAGTGTCCACTCACAGGAGAGGCTGGGGGAGATGTCAGTGAGAAGTTAAAGGCACTCTAGCAACAATTTGAGATCTTTTCCTTGATGTAATAAGTAGGGTTGACATGAGGCAAATCAACATTGTCCACTGTCTTGTCTATGTGCCACCCAATGACACTCTACGCTAACAGCAGTGTCCTTCATAAACACTTACTGGGTTCCTCTAAGGAAGTAAGAATCAATGGCTCCAAGATTAACAATTGTGAGTACCTACTTTGTGGCTTGGACCTCCATTTCTAGAACCTTCTGTTTTGCTTGTGAGTAACTCCAAAAAGCTCTACCATGATGGCCATGGGTCATGGTCATCTCCATTGTTCATATGTAGACAGAGTTGGAAATGTACACTGGTCTGGCTTGTAGTGTTATGGGTGGGGGATCTGGAAACAGAAAGCCCATGGGAATTAGAGCTAGAGCTCATGTCAGATATGGAGGAAAGAAAAACTCACAAATCCATGGTGGAACCAGGCCACCAAGGCTCTTATTTTTCAATGAAATAATGTCCTTTATAATTAAAGAACTAAGTTTCCACTTAGCATAGTTTTAACTTACCCAATTTATCCTCTTTCAAAAGATCTCAAACATTTCATCCTATTCTTTTTCTTTTTCGTGGTACTGGGACTTGAACACAGGGTCTACACTTTGAGCCACTCCACCAGCCTCCCTTATTTTTTGTGAAGGGTTTTTTGAGATAGGGTTTCTCAAACTATTTGCCCTGGGCTGGCTTCGAACATCAATCCTCCTGATCTCTGCCTCCTGAGTAGCTGGGATTACAGGCATGAACACCAGCACCCAGCATATTATTTCTTTTAAAGATTATAAAGTAGATTGGGGGAGGGGCAAAACCATACTATCCAAGAATAATAACAATTTGGTAAACAGGCATTTTTAGTTTCATCAAAAGAATGACTGGTAAATTTAGTCTTTTGTGAATATTAAATACTTTATCTTTAAAAGTTAAAATAGGGGCTGGGGATGTAGCTCAGTGATTAGCCCTGAGTTTGATCCTGAGTGCTCTGGCCAGGGTGGGGATGCTATAATAGATCTTTTTGCGGCTTCCTGAAGGGGATTGATGCATTAGAGACTGCATTCAAAGTCCAAGTAAAGCTAATGAATGCATAGCATCACACCTGTCCTAGATCAGGCCATTGTCCCCATGGAGGCTCTTAACAGGAAAAGATGGTGCTTATTTTCTAAATCTGTGCACATAGGTGCTTGACAGTCACCAAGACTCTTCCAGCACCAACAGTCTAATACCCTATGAATAAAGCCTCGGGTGATTCTGAGGAATTCCCAGATTTAGATTCACATGCTCTCCACAACATCCCCATGAGTCCCTCAGGAAAATGGAAGGAGCCATCTCCACTCCCTGGAAGCACAAAGCCCAGCAGCAGAGTGTAAGCTGCAGTTAGTGCTTCAGCACATCCACACTGCATGGCCTTGAACAGATAGCCTCTTGAACCTCAGTTACTTGTATTTGACAAGGTCATAGCAAAATATTAATAAGACTCAAACCAAGAAAAGAAGTGGACAGAGGGTAAGAACAGTTTGGGTAAAAGAAACTGTAAGTGGTTTGTGTGTGTGTGTGTGTGTGTGTGTGTGTGTGTGTGTGTGTGTGTGCGTGTGTGTGCGGCACCACTGGATTTTGAACTTGGGGCTTTGTGCCTGCTAGGCAGGTGCTCTACCACTCGAGACACACTCCCATACCTTTTTGCTTTGGTTTGTTTTTCATTTAGGGTCTCATGCTTTTTCCTGGAGCTGGCCTTGGACCACATTCCTCCTACCTCTGCATTCCACATAGCTAAGTTGACAGGTATGTACCAACACAGCCAACTTGTTTTTAAGATGGAGTTTTTCTAACTTTTTTGTCTGGGTCAGTCTTGAATTGTGATCCTTCTATCTCTGCCTACCAAATAGGCAAATGGATTTTAAACATATGAAAAGATGTTCTCTCTCTTGTATCAAAACAAATACACATTAAAAACCACTAATAGATACTGTTACTAGCAATCCATTTCACAAAGATCAAAAAGTAGGTATACAGCTTCCTGGTAGAGGTGTGGCATTGCAGGTGCCATCAGACATTACTGGTGTATCTGTGGGAGTCAGGCAACTTCCTGGGAGTGGAAATTCAGAACTATCTTTCAAAAGTTTAAAAGAAGGTACACTTTGATGTGGTTGTTGAACTTCTGGAAGTGGGTCCCACCGATGTGCGATGTCCTGTATGCGTCTTCATGCACACAGGACACTTCTACATGGTATTGTAAATAGAATCAAGTGGCTAATTTCATCATTAAAAGTCATGGAATCAGTATATGGATCAAACTCATAGTCAGGGAGACAAGAATTATTCTCAACTCCATTATGTCCAAGAGAACCCCAGAAGTCCACTGTAAAACTAAGGTTTAAACTCAGGACCTTGTGCTTGCTCTGCAGGCACATTATCACTTGAGCTGCACCGCTGGCTCTTTTTTTGCTTTAGTAGTTTTTCAGACAGGGTCTTGCGTTTTTGCCCAGGGCCAGCATTGGACCATGATCTTCCTCTCTATGCCTCCAGTGTAGTTGGGATTACAGACACAAGCAACCATGCCCGGCCTCTTGCTGTATGTAGTTTGTTTTTGAAAGCCACCAAAAAAGGGACTGATTGCAGTAAAAACTAAGAGTTCATGTACACAGAAGTTTCTTTTTTCATTTTCTCATGCAATCTCAACAACATCCCATTTTACAGAGGAAAGATTACATAATCCAACTACAGGCTGGGGATTGTAAAAGGCAGAAGAGGCAGAATTTCTGGCCTCAATCCCAGTGCTCTTCCAACCACATTACATTGGGTCCCTTCCAATTCACCACTTTGACAACAAAGTTCACCTTGGAAGAGTCCCTATATTCCATTTTTTTTATCTCCTAAGGGAGGGTAAAGCCTGGGGAACCAGCTTTGATCCACCAGATCCTCAGAATCCTGAGGAAGACCGGCATGGTCCTTGCCCTCAGGAGACTTACCACATGGTTAGAGAGACAATGGAAAACTGGACAAAGCAGTAGGTAATTTAAAGTTGTTACACTTGCTTTGAAAGGAAGGAAGGGGTACAGAAATAGAGAATATCGACACAGGATTTAATGCAAATTTTTTTCAAGAAAGTCTTATCTTAGGATCAGACATTGAAACAAAGGCTAAGAGAATTCATAGAAATGAGAAGAGCAGGGAAGGGGAGAAGCATATTCCAGACAGAAGGAACTTCAGGAGGGACTTCTTTAAGGTTTTAAGACTTGAGGACATTTGAGGATGAGGATGAGGATTTGAAAAGAGTGATCCTAAATGATCTGTTCTACACAGAGGATTATAAAGGGCCAGGTTGGAAGCTGAAAGACCCAATACAAACTCACTTCATTTACTCAAGTGAAGCAATGCATGGCTTTGGTCCGGGTTGGGTTAAGATGTTGAGAAAAAGATTTGCAAAATGTTTCATAGATGTATTTTGTTTTTAGATGGAGATGTCCCTGGAGGTGGCCAACATGACCAAGGTCCAGCAGTTTGTCCTCCTGGGCTTGTCCACTGGGCTGGAGGTAAGGAATGCACTGTTCATCATCTTCCTCACGCTCTACCTGCTGACCCTCTTGGAGAACACGCTCATTGTCTACCTCGTTTGCACTCACAGTGAGCTCCGAAAGCCCATGTACTTCTTCCTGGGTCACCTCAGCTGCCTGGAGATGTCCTATGTGTCTGTGACCATGCCCACCCTGCTCGTGGGGCTGTGGATTGGACCCTACCATATTTCCTTCACAGGTTGCATGACCCAGCTCTTCTTCTTCATCTCCCTCATCTGCACAGAGTGCACCCTCCTGGCCTCCATGGCCTATGACCGCTACATGGCCATCTGCTGCCCACTGCATTACCCACTACTCATGCGGCCCCAGGTCTGTCTGGGCTTGGGCATGACTTCCTGGCTGGGTGGACTGGTGGTCTCGGTGATCAAAACAGCGTGCATTGCCACCCTGTCCTATTGTGGTCCCAATGTCCTCAACCACTTCTTCTGTGATGTCTCCCCTCTACTCAACCTGTCCTGCACCCACGTGGCCCTCACAGAGCTGGTGGACTTCATCTCTGCCATCGTTATCCTCTGGGGTTCCCTTCTTGTGGCCATAGCCTCCTATGTGGCCATCGGCAGGACTGTGTTCCACATGTCTTCAGCTGCTGCCCGCCACAAAGCCTTCTCCACCTGCGCCTCCCACCTGGTGGTGGTGGGGATCTTCTACTCGGCCACCATCTTAATTTATGCCCGGCCCAGCCACATAGAAGCCATGGACCTCAACAAGGTGCTGTCGGTCATCTACACGGTGGTCACGCCCATGTGCAACCCCATCATTTACTGTCTGCGGAACAAGGAGGTCCAAGCGGCTATCCAAAAATCCCTGCACTAGTCCTAAGAGTGACCAGCTGACAGAGCTATAGGGGAGACCTTAAATTACCAATATCCTACTTTTTATTGAGATGCAATTTATATAAAATAAAGTTCACCTTTTAAACATGTGCAATTCTGTGTCTTTTTAGTATTTTCATAAAGTCCCCTTCACCAGGAATTCAAGCTCTCTTGTTAGGTTTCGGTTCACACACATGAGATCAACATCACCTATGGGTGTCTGCTCTGCCTTCCACAGGGGCTTCTCATGCTGTTCTACCTGCTGGGAGTTCCATGTCCTGCCTGTCCTCCTGTCAATGCTCAGCTCGATGCCCTCTACACAGTTTCTTGTCACCGTCCACAGTCAGCCACATGCCTGACTCCTGCTGCAGCACTCTGCAGTCTCAGTTCACACAAGGTGAAGATGTGAACCAGGACTGAGCACTGCACAAGTGTGGACCCCTTTTTTCCTGCATGGGGACATGTCTTGTAGGGATGCTTGGCACACATGGGGAGCTTTGCAGCGTTGGCTGAGGAGATGAAGGAGGAGTTCACTGAAGGAAGGTCATGCCCTTCCTTCATGTACACTGATGACCATGTGTACAGGGATTCGTGTTAGGTTGACACCTACTGTGCACAGAGAGATTGCTGAACTCATGCGATTATCACATTTAACTCTCAGCATGGAGTCCTCAAGTCTAGGAGAGCTGACAGCTCCATATCTGTTCTTCCTTGTCATTTACCTACGGACCCACCAAATTTCATCCAGAAACAAGCCACTTGAAATTTATCTGAGCCTAGGAGTGGGTGTGTGATACCAATGTGAGACCAGAGCATCTCACATGTACACACATTCACACACACAGACACATTCACACACACACCCCCGACACACACAGAGACATGCATGCAGGCACATACACATAGACACACACAGACGCACATGTGCACACACACAGACACACATGCACACACATTCACACACATGCACACACACACATAAGACACATACATCTGTACAGATGCACATGCACACACAGACACACGCACACCCCCCAACACATGCACATGGAGGCACACACACATAGAAACACACAGACGCATAGCACATGCACCCGTGCACACACATGCACACACAGGCACACAGAGACATGCACACACACATAATATACACACACATGCACATACACAGACATGCATTCATGTACATACATACACATAAAACACATGAACACACACATGTACATACACACATATGCACACACTGAAACAAGCACACGTCCACACACATGTACACACAACACACAGACATATACAGACTCACACACAGACATGCATGCATGCACACACAGACACAGAACACACACATACCCACAAACACACACATGCACATGCAAACACTCACACGAAGGAGGCAACAGGTAAAGGCAGTGCTGGGGAGTAGGAAAAATGGTGGGCACTCAGCACTCACCTGAAACCACCTGCACCCTCCCAGCTGGGACTTTGAAGAAAGGGGAGTGCCCCACACAAAGAGGTGGCATGGATGTGTCTGGGAGTAGAATCCCAGGCTGTGAGCTAAGGGGCTCCTTCACGAGGCCCAGGGCCTGGGGGAGGGGGAAAGGGGAAGGGTGTCCAGATATCGCTGAGTTGTGCCTCTGTTCCTTCAGTGACACACCCTCTCTTCCTGTCATCACCATGTCTTAAATGTTAAGAATGCATCACAGATGTTGTGAAAGACGAAGACGACACTTGGCTCAGAAGTGAACCAGGTGTTTTCATGATGGACATAGGGGGCTCAGGCCTGTGCCCATTCTTAGTGAAGGAGGCTCAATTCTGCAGGCAGGTCCAGACCGTTGTCTGTCCAGGACACAGGACCAACACATTAGGGCTGTGGAGCTGCCAGCTCTGTGACCTTGGGCAGCTATTACACCTCTCTCAGCTTCAGCCTCTTCCTGCTCAGTGGGTACAGTGGCAGTGTCACCCCAGCACTGCTGATTGATGGACACAGGAGATGAGGTTTACAGTGTGCTTGCATGCAGCTCAGGGGACTCCAGGAATGACAGCCAAATCACATGCTTTTCCCTAAATAATTGTACCATAGTGTCCCCTTCTCCAGGTCACAGTGTTTGGCAGGTGCTGCTATCACAGAGCAATGCCGGGCCCCAGGCACAGGCAGGAGAGATGGACATGAGCTTTCTTAAGGCTTTGAAGGTGTGGAGACCAATGGCTGGTTCATCCACTCACCCATGGGTAAGTTTCACTTATTTCCATGTCATTGCATCAATGCTATAGGATGTCCATTGTACAGTCGTCTTTTCCACATGTCTGAATGATTTGTGTTCTGAAGGGAAGGCTGGCTCTCACTACGAGTACCATGACCCTGAAGCCTTGGTGACTTCTTTCATAAACTTTCCCCAGACTCTGTGTCCACTTTAAATTGGCAGGTGGGAAGGACCTGTAACCATGGGCAGGAGCTCATGTGGAAGAGGCAGACATTTGCTTGTCACCAGAAAGAGAGAAAAGAGAGCAATGAAGGTCTCTCTCTTGGAGCTGAAGTCTTAGGACTGAAAGTGTCATCATTGCCCATTACTTAGAACCAACCTCAGGACCCCACCCAACCCCGGTGGTTCCCACAGTACAGTCATACACTGTGCCTGGGAGGCAGAGGGTGGAACTGTCAAAGGAGAGCCCTGAAGTCTTCCTCTGTGAAGACGAAATCGTGATCACCATGTCTAATTGCGGGAAACCACTGTGGGTGAATTGCTTTCCATGCCTTTGTCTCCATGTGCCACCCTGCAGTCTTACAGTGTGTCTTTCCCCATGCCCAGCCACCACTGGATTTTCTCTAAGGTTTTTTTTCAAGCTGGTAAGTGTAGGGCCATTTCATAACTTTGGCTTTTAGCTTCCTAATAATGGCGGTGAGTAACAAACCTGTCATAGGGTTATTAGACAATTGCAACTACCTAACAACTGTGTTACCTTTCTGTAAATATTTCTGAATGGGTCCTTTCATTGCTCAATATATTTTCATCCTTTGCTTCAGGATAAATTTCCACAGTGTAATTGACAACAGCCAGGGCATTCAGAATCTTAAGGCTTTTGTATATATGGACATACTACTTTTCCAAAATGCATTGCTGTTACCAAACCCAGGTTGGAAGTTTATCCTGTGGAAAAACCAATATCCCATAGAGAGTATTGAGAAGAAAGGAACCTTTATTCAGTGGCCTAGGAATGGAGCGGAGTGGTGAGGGGTGACAGAGACAGAGCAGGAAGAGCAGAGCTAACAAAAGGGGAGGAACAGTCATGTCTTTTCTGGGATCAGGTGGAGATCTTCCAGGAATTCTGGTGCCACTTCTTTTCACTCCTTTTGTGATCCTGTGTTATCAATCATAGTGGCTGGTAAGTGTCTTTAGTCTTGAATGGGGATGAGGACCACACAGGTCCAGGACAAGTTATATCGAAAAATGAAACATTTTTCAAATGTTCAACATGTCTAAATAAAGACTTGAATGGGATCTGATCCAAAGGTGAAGGCAGCAAAGGAGACAGACACAGTATGGAGATGGAGATACCATATATATTTTTCCCATTCTTGTCACCCCTCAGACGTCTTCAGGAACAAGTGAGGAGTCAGTGATTTTAGCAAAAGTGGCCTTAAGTCCCTGAAAGGTAACCTAAGCAACTGTTATCATAACCCACACAGTGGAGGTGCTGTCTACAGCAAAGTTAGTTATAAACCAATGAAGTATTGACTAGTGCGTGGCCTCCAAAATTAGTGATGTTTTTAAGACAACTAAGAGCTAGTGAAGATAGAGGGTGTATTTAGGTTTTTCCTTAGTAACACCAGTTAAGACTCACAGATGTCAATCATCAGAACATGCTCACTTCCTTTTAGTTATGGACAACATAAACTATTACTTTATAAAATTATGTAAAATATTTCAGGGTTGGGTGAGGTGGCTCGTGCTTGTAATCCTAGCTATGTAGGAGGTGAAGATTAGCAGGACTGTGGCTCAAGGCTACCTGGGCAAAAAATTACCAAGACTTCATCTCAACAGAAAATCTGGTTGTGGTGGTGCTGGCCTATCATCCCAGCTATGTGGGAGGCACAAGTAGGAAGATTGTTGGCTCTACTTAAAAAAACAACTAAAGCCAAAAGGGCTGTGGACTAATTCAAAAGATGACAAAACTATTAAAAAATTAAATACACTTATTAAAATTTTTTTAAAAAGAAGGATTGGGGGTGTGGCTCAAGTGGTAGAGCACCTGTCCAGCAAGTGTGAGCCCTGAGTTCAAACCCCAGTGCTGCCAAAAAGAATACTCCAGAGAATGAACAAGTCACTGCATAGAAGGTCATTCTTTAAGTTACTTTTCCTCTTATAATTTATCTATTCAATTATAAAGGTAATGCAAAATTAATGAAAATAAGTCAATATGTAAAATATAAAATATGAGTCTTCTCTGGTCCCAATCCTAAAAACACCTCCATTACCTGTTTGATGTGTATCCTATGATTGCAATTACTGTTATGATTACTAGTGTTTTACAAAACTTCCCCATGTCAGTAATCACAGGTCTATTTTAATCTCTAATTAATGCATATTATTTTTGTTACATATTTTTTGCAGAAATAATGTTTTAATTTTTTGGTGAATATTTGAGTTATTTCCAATCACTTCCAAAAAATAATGTTTACTCCAAGTCTCACAATTTTGCAATATTATTTATTATGTACATTTATTTTGGGCACTGTATGTACCTATACATATATGTATTTAGGTTTTTCCTTAGTAACACCAGTTAAGACTCACAGATGTCAATCATCAGAACATGCTCACTTCCTTTTAGTTATGGACAACATAAACTATTACTTTATAAAATTATGTAAAATATTTCAGGGTTGGGTGAGGTGGCTCGTGCTTGTAATCCTAGCTATGTAGGAGGTGAAGATTAGCAGGACTGTGGCTAATATATGTATTACACACATATTAGCATGCAAAGGGTGATTTACAGTCTTCTGTTCAAATTTGCATTTAATAGAGGTTGACAATCTCTTTGTAGGTTACCAGGCAGTTATATTTCTTTGTCAATAACATTTCCTGGACTGGAGGTGTGACTCAGTGGCAGAGCACCTGCTTTGCAAGTGTGAAGCCCTGCGTTCAAATTCCAGTCCCACTAAAATAAAACAAATAACATTACTTTGGTTTTTCTTTTGGAACATTCCTATTTTCCAGATTGATTTTAAAAAGTCTCCATGCATAATGCCCTAAATATTTCCTCCAAGCTTCTATTTGCCTTTGAACCCTGGGCACTTGGCCTTGACTGCCCAGCGTGGGCTGAGGGTCCTGCGCAGCACCGCGTGGACCTCCCTGTTCCGCAGGCCATAGACGATTGGGCTACACGTGGGTGTGGCCACCGTATAGATGATTGACAGCACCTTGTTGAGGTCTGTGGACTCAGTGTGGCTGGGTTGGGAATACATAAAGAGCACTACTGAGTAGAAGATGCCCATGACTATCAGGTGGGAGGAGCAGGTGGAGAGGGCCTTATGGCCAGCAGCAGCTGAAGACATGCGGAGTACAGCCCTACCAATGGCCATGTAGGAGGCCAGAGCAACGAGGAATGACCCACAGAAGACCACAAGCACTGAGATGAAGCCCACCAGCTCTGTGAGGGCCATGTGGGTGCAGGACAGGTTGAGCAGAGGGGAGATGTCACAGAAGAAGTGGTTGAGGACGTTGGGGCCACAGTAGGACAGGCTAGTGATGCATGTGGTCTTGACCACTGAGATCACCAGTCCACCCAGCCACGAGGACAAGGCCAAGCCCCAGCAGACCTGGGACCGCATGAGCAGTGGGTAATGCAGTGGATGGCAAATGGCCACGTAGCGGTCATAGGCCATGGAGGCCAGGAGGGTGCACTTGGTCCCAATGAGAGAGATGAATAAAAACAGCTGAGCAATGCAGGCTGTGAATGATACAAGGCAGGGCCTGGACCGTAGGCTTGCCAGCAGAGTGGGCATGGTCACAGACACGTAAGACATCTCCAGGCAGCTGAGGTGGCCCAGGAAGAAGTACATGGGCTTGCGGAGCTCACTGTGAGTGCAGATGAGGTAGACGATGAGCGTGTTCTCCAGGAGGATCAGCAGGTAGAGTGTGAGGAAGATGACAGACAGGCCATCCCGGATGTCTTTCCTAGCAGACAAACCCAGTATGACAAAACCAAGGTTGCTGGAGCCATTGGCCAACTCCAGTGACCTCTCCATCTAAGTGAAGAGGAAAACAGGTTTATAGAGAACCTGGTCCATGCAGGAGTGTAGGGTTAAACAGGAAGAACATATATAGCTGGACCTTTCAGGGTCCATGTGACTGGAGGTGGGGGGGTTGACTACCGTCGGGAGGAACACTGGCAATTGGAAAATCACAAACCTGGAAATGAAGAACTTACAAGTGCACTCACTCAGGCTGTGATTTCAGAAAGGTGCTCAATCTTCACGAGCCTGTGTCTGCAAAACGGAGGTGAAATCCATCCTCACGAGGCCCTTGTCCTTATGGATATTTATTTATTTATTGCTGCTCTTGTATGCTAGGCAAGGCTCTACTAGTGAGCCACACCCCTGGCCCATCCTTGCAAATGCTAAGTAACATGGCAATAAATAGAAGATGCTTTATAAAGTAAGGAATGATGGTGGCTTTTTCTAGATCAGGGTTTTCAACCTCCCTCCATTTCTTTCCTTTCCTTTCCCTCCCTTCCTCCCTCCTCTCTCCCTTTCTCCCTTCCTTCCTTCCTTCTCTTCTTCTCTTTCCTTCCTCTCTCCTTTCCTTTCGTCTCTTTACTTCATCCCTTACTTCTCCTCCCTCCCTTCCTTTTTTCCTCCCTCCCTCTCTTCCTTCCTTCTCTTTCCTTTCTTCTTCCTTCCTTCCTTCCTCCCTTTCTCCCTTCCTCCCTCCCTCCCTCCCTTCCTTCCTCCTTTCTTTCTTTGTCTCTCAAAAATTTCCCAAGATCCCAGAGCTTGCGTGTATATTTTAAATATACATTTATTTTGAGCAGTATCTCTCTCTCAGTTTTTAGTATACGTCTCTTACATGGACTACTTTTGGAGAAAATTTGCCATTGTTTATTGGAATAATGGAGTCAGCATAATAAATGTTCTAAAAAGACAAATGGAAAATTTCCTGTCTGGATATTTGTAAAAGTAATTCCTTCCAGAAAGGCAATAATTTTTTTCTTTTTCTTATCTGTACTGTGGTTTGAACGCAGGGTTTTACACTTGCTAGAGCCAGACACTCTACCACTTGAGCCACCACAGCCCTGTTTTTTTTTGAGATAAGATCTCCCTATGCAGTCCAGGTTGGCCTCAAACTCATGATCTTCCTGCCTCAGCTTCCACAGAGTGAGGACTATAGGAATAGCCACCACACCTGGCTTAACAGCTTTTTTTTAAAGGAAAGAAACTTCATGTGTTGAGCATCATTTATGTGTCCTGTTCTGTTTTCTGAATGCATAAACATCACTTTTTTACTGTCTGAGACTTCTAGATGAATTAGGGTTACTGTAACAGTCACACACACAATTCACTGAGGCTCATGGCAGTAAGAAACTTGTTCAAACGGAAGGTGTGGGGGGTGGGGATGAGGGAGGATCCTTTCCTGTGCCAGTAAAACTGGGGACCCAATGTGAGACATGGGAGTATTTGGGTTTATTTCTGACTCATTATATGTATGCAATAGCAAATGTTTATCACATTTTTGGTACCAGGTGCCTGAAATCAAACAGTGAACAAAACCAACTTCCATGACCCAAAGTTCATTTATATCTTAAATAGACAGGGACAGAGAAAGCAAACAGAAAGACAACTGTAAAAATGAGACACTTTAAGAGGATGAGTGCTAAAGAAAAGGCAAAGGAGGATGTCAGTGGTTGTCTAGCTCTGGAGGAGGTTATTTTAGAAGGGGAGAGTCAGGGGACATGGTGTGGGGCAGGGAGGTGACATCTCAGCTTATTTCTCACTGATGACAAGGAACCACTGAATGTTAAGTTGGCGGAAGAGCAGACCAGGTGGACCAGGACAGTGTCCTTGGGTAGCTAGTTATCCACCCCAAACAATAAAAAATGGAAACCCACATCAAACCACATGACTAAAACCACCAATTTCAGGTGAATTGAAAATAAAAATGTGAAGGAAAAAAATCTCTGAAATGTTAGAAGATGACACAGAAGCATATCTTTGTGATCTTGGTGTACAGAAAACAGTAACAGTGAAGGAAAAGAATTTAAACTTTGTCCACCTTGAAATTTAAGAATTTTCAACAACCACATGTGCTCTGTCATGTGTGAAGTATAGACATAAAAAATGACATGGATATAAAATGGCGACTGTTTTTTTGGGGGGGGAACAATCAGAAAGAAGGATGGCAACGGGGTTGAATTTGATCGAAGCACATCATATGCTTGTATGGACACATCACAATGAAATTCTTTTTTACAATTAACATGTCACAAAAAGAAATCCAGTCATATAAAGAAATCCTGATTGTGACAAAAATCAAAAGTTATGAAAAACATGTAAGTGACAAGCAGTCCCTATGAAGAACATACAAAGATATCAACCAATCAATGGAGAAAATCTTTTTTCAATAGAAAATGAAGAAATATCCTGGACTGTATCCCTCAAAACATACACATAGGGCTGGTGGAGTGGCTCAAGTGGTAGAGCATCTGCCTAGCAAGCAGGAGGTTCTGGGTTCAAACCCCAGTACCACCAAAATAAAATACCCATACACGTAAATATGCTCACCTTATTAAGAACTAAAAAAATGTGAATTAAAACCAAAATGAGATGTCATTTCACACCATAGAACTGTCACCAACCTAAGCATCTGCACATACTAAGTGTCATGATTAAGAACTTTGATACATGGCTTCTGAGTGCTGAAGTGGGTGTTGTAACATTGGAAATAAATTCAGGCTTATCTAGTGAATTTTAATATGTGCATACTGGAAATTCTGCCTCCAATCATATGTACAAATCCATGTTCATAGCAAAAGTCTGTAAGCATGTCCCATAGAATTGATAAGTACATTGTGAACTCTACGTAATATAGTGCTGTTCTGTAGGTAAATGAATGAGTAGCATCTAATATCATTAGTGATCAATTTTGGAAACATAATCTTGAGCAAAAAAGGAAAGTTAAGGCCAGGTATGGAGGCTCACACCTGTAATTCCAGCTAGTTGGGAGGAATAGATTGGGATGATGTGGTTTAAGGCAAGCCCAGGCAAAAAGTTAGTAAAACTCTATTTCACCCAGTAAGGTGGACATGGTTGTGTGTGCCTCTTGTCCCAGTTGCACAGGAAGTGTAATAGGAGGATTGAGGTCCAGCCTGCTTGAACAATAACTAAAGCTAAAAGGGTGGAGGGGAGGTGACTCAAGTGGTAGAGGACCTGCCTAGCAAGTGCAAGACCCTGAGTTAAAACCCCAGTACTATCAAAAAGAAAAAAAAGTTACATAAGTATTCAAAGGTATAATTCAACTTATATAAAACCAAATCATGCAAAAGTTTCTTAAAATATATTGTTTAGAAACAATATTCAGAGAAACCCAGGGAGGCTCAGAGTGAGCGTCTGGAGTACTGGTTGGGACCCCTACATACCTCTACCCAAAGTCGCCTGCTGACTGTGCTGTCCATGGTTCTGAGCAAGGACTAAGGATCCATCAAGACTTTCATGGCGCTGTCCTCAGTACTGAAGCAATTTCCAGCCAGTCTTCTACCAACTAATTTTTTTTCCTCTTTAGCCAGACTGTTTTCCCCTTGGTCATTTCTATGTCCTATTTCCCTTTATAACTGCCCCATAACTGATTCAACTTCTCTTGAGAGCTTCTTTGTTTATCTTGCCTCTCTGACAACATCAGATGACCTAGAATGTCAGAGTATCTTGAAAGGTCTTGGGCTATTGGGATGATTTGAAGATGTTAAGCCAATCCTACAAACATTTATCATGCCTGAGTCATATCACATCCTGAGATTGGGTTATGGCTGACTTGGTTTCTGCCCTCCAGTGAAATTTGTAGGATACATAAAGCAGGTGGCTAGCTGCATGACTATAAGATTCTTAACCTCTCTGAGCCTGAATTACTTGTTACTTAACAGAGCAGTGTTTCCTTCAAGAAGAAGAAGACATTACATGGTCCTGTCTTTCATTATTGCCTGTGTTGAATGTACTGCAATACTATCTCACAGTGGAGCCTAAGCATTCTCACCATGGCTCAGAGTAAGGAATGTATTGGTTATGAATAATTCACAATGGCACACATACACACAAACACCACCTATCCAAATAAAATAGGAGCTTCACAAAAACACCTGCCCTTACTTTACGTGAATCCCTCTGATATTTTCTTTCACATTCCTGTGTCATTTAAAAATACAATTGACCCAATAAAGCAATTTTATGACTCTCAATTTGAAATATGCTATGTGGGACTTAAGAATAGAGCTTTAAAACAGGACAGAACTGGTTCCAGTCAAGCTATATCTACACTGACTTGTGACCTTAGACATGGACTCTGACCTTGTAGACCTCACCTCTTCATCTCCAGCATGTAGATAAAAATCCTGAATTCTTATGATTGTCAAGGGATTAATTCCAATACATTTCTATGGCACCCAGGCAGTATCTAGCACCCAAGGGTTCCCTAGAGAAGGAAGAATTTTTTTTCTTTCCCAAATCAAATGATCTTATTTTCTTACCTTTCAATTAAAGGTAGTCATGGCTTGCTTTTCCTCCTGATGAACACTCTGGGAACATGAATGATTCAGTTTCTGCCTTTGGGCATAGGTAAAGATGTCAGAGCTGGAATAATTGGCCAATGAATTTGAGGACCTCTCCCTGTGCTGGGGGGTGTGGCGCAGTGGTAGAGCTCTTGCCTAGCATGAACAAGGCCCTGGGTTCAATCTGAAGCACCACCAAAAAAGACCTCTGCCAGTTCTCTGTAGCCCTGAGCAGTGAGTTCTCAACAGCCTTTCTCTGTTTCTCTACCGCTGTGTTGTCTGAGCTGCCAACATAGTTCTGTTTTTATAACCAGCCTCATGAAGGAGGACCAGTTTAAGTCAAGTATGGGACCTTAGAGGGCTGTGCTAATCCCTATGGATTTAGAGAAAAGACTCCAGTGAAAACTTCTCATGAAAGTGTGCTGGGTCTTGGTGAGGGGGCCCACAGGTGATGTTGGTTCCAAGACAGTTCTCATGCCATTTTGAATTCCTGAG